TATATTGTATTAACCAGTCAGAACCTAAATGTCAACGATAGAATCTTTCCCTTGCATTCTGACTGATGTCCTCCGTATTAATGTAACACCCGCGAATTAACACACACACATACATACACACGTACACTCATCGAGAAATTATAATCAACAATATTTTTATTTTTTTTTTATATAATCATGTATATCCACCATTTACTTTTAAAATGAATAAATTTACATTTTGTTAATTTAAAATCAAAATAACTCATTATTAACCCCCACTCATTCCTTTAGTCGAAAGATCGCACTTGGTCCCATCCTGCGTAAAAGAGATTAAATTCTCTTACCAAAAAGGGACCACCGAACGAACGTCTGAATAACCAGCGTAACAGCGACTCAGTCGTTTACCTGCTTTTCAGACCTGTCAGTTCGTTCGACCCGATTCCAAACGCCACGAGGCGAACTTCGGGATAATAAAAGATAGTTGTTGCGCCCTTCCGTCGACTCATCCTTCCTCGAGTCTGGACGTAACAGTATATTTGAGAAAGCAAAAGCATGCGATTATAATAATTGCGTTATACGTAGACGATTTCTTTATTTTTTCTAACGATCTTAGTCAGATTGAATCTTTAAAAACAAAGTTAAAAGCTAAATTCAAATTAGAAGATTTAGGAGAAGCTGTGCAATGTTTAGGTATAAGAATACAGAGAAACTATGATAAAAAAGAAATAAAGTTAGATCAAAGTCAGTATATTAAAGAAATATTAGAAGTTTGGCATGCAAGATGTAGAACTAATTTTTATTGCTAATCCTAATATTGCAATAGCAAAGAAAGAAAAGAAAGAAATTTCCAGACTTAATGTAGCATATATGTATAATCTAGGGAATTCTCAGCACTACCAAAGTACTTCCAAAGCGCGCATTGGTTAAATCGGAACTACTTTCTATGCAGTCTACGCGCTTCATGCGTAACGCGGAATGGACCCATTGTCACATGTGTTAAGTGTCAACAATTATTATTGTCAAATTTAAAATTATTATCAAGTTATTACAAATAGATATATCTCAAGAAATAAATGATCTTATTAGACAAATAAGTTTCACTTTTTCATTATTTAATTAATAATATACATACATTTAATTAATTATATACATATATACATACATACATAATTATTCATTATTTAATTAGGTATATGTATGTATGTATGCATGCATGCATATGAATATATCGTATATATATATATACAGACCCAGCATCACTCTCTCGTGTATTCCGACATGCGCATTCTCACCCCCGCGACGCGACTTGGAGGGGATGAAATAAGAGAACAATTTTCAACGAATTACCTTAATCAGTCTAAGATCGCCTACGTCAGGTGCATCTAGATTCGGTAAACTACATTAATAATACAATAATTATATATATACATATATACATAATTATATATTTATCTATGTAACTGCAATTATGGCCACGCAGTTTATTTATATCTGCATAGTTATAATTATTATATATTTGTTTGCATAGCTATAATTATGGTTATACAATTTATATATTTGTCTGCGTAGCTATAATTATGGCTACGCAGTTTATTTATTTATCTGTATAGCTACAATTATTATATATTTATCTGCGTAGTTATAATTATGGCTATTGTAATAAACATTTATAATACATTGTTTGTTTCCATCGCAGCTCACGAATTGATCGCCTCTGGCATATATTTTTTAACCAAAGCGGACATGCAAAACGCATTTAGTGTCAAATATTCTTAAAATAACCAACTCACGAACTGACCGCCTCTGGCTAACTAACTACTGTAGCACTAACTACTATTATAAAATACAAATATAATAAATTTTCAATAAAATATCAAAATAAGCAAAAGACTGCGATCTTATTTTTCAGAGATTTATGTTATAAATTCGGCATTACTTATATATATACACTGTGTGTACACACACGCGCGCACGCACACACACACACACGCACACATATATATACATATATACATAGCTTTTCTCACCACCTCCGTACAATAATGTATTGTATGTCTTAGTTTATCGGTCCCCTACACGCTCCTAAAGTTTTGACATTTAAATTGGGGACATCCTGTATATTAAAACCAACAAATAATAAATTTAATTTATAGAAATATATTTAATTTAGTTACATCAATAACTACAATGTAAATGTATTAAAGAATGCATAAATTTTAGCATATTGTTTAGTTTAGCAGCGCCAAGATTTTCAAATTAAATTTTTAATTTTTTATAGTAATTAAAACAGTTATTTTGTACAATTATTTTTGGTTAAAATATTTGTTTAATTTTTATTTTCAGTTGGCACAATTTGTTGATATCATTATTTTTGTAGGATATATTTATACAATTTCTTTTTGGTTAAAATATTTTTATAAGTTTTTATTTCCAATAAATTTTTCAACTATAAACAAAAATTCTTGTACTACAAACAACTACAAACGATTTTAGATTATAATCTGATGTCAGTTGCGCTCTAATTATAAATAAATTCCTTACTGTCATTTAAAAATCGTTATCATATTTATATTTCAACTGCAAAAAAAAAATTATTAATTCAATCACCTGCAGGCGAAATTCTATGAGAAACAAACTTCAAAATTTGATTTGTTAAAATCGGGTGCCAACTTCGCGCAAGTCAATCTGTATTGGATTGTCCGAAAATTCGAGAAACACCGTTTAAGGGAAGGTAGAGGGTGTTATTCTGAACAGAAAAGTCCTGTAACATTTTTTTCTATAACGCTTCATAAAGGAGTTATTATTGAGTAAAGTCGGCGCTGATTGACCAGACTTTACTCAATAATAACTCCTTTATGAAGCGTTATGGAAAAAAATGTTACAAGACTTTTCTGTTCAGATTACTGTGCTCTACCCGCTCACGAGCGTTGGCACAATCTTTACCGGACACCCTGTATA